ACAGGCCTTTCATTGGGCATGGATGCTTTGTATGGAATTAACTTCCATCTCCTATTGGATTTTATTTTTATTTTTTGGTCAGTCATGGGGCTTGAACTCTGGGCCTGGGCACTGTCCCTCAGCTCTTCATCTCTAAGGCTAGCACTCTACCACTTGAGCCACACAGAAGTTCCACTTTTTCTGCTTATGTGGTGCTGAGGAATCGAACCCAGGGCCTTATGCATGCAAGGCAAACACTCTACCACTGACCCACCTTCTCAGCCCTCCTACTGGCTCTTTTTTTTTTTTTTTGTCGGTCGTGGGGCTTGAACTCTGGGCCTGGGCGCTGTCCCTGCGCTCTTCAGTTCAAGGCGAGCACTCTACCACTTGAGCTACAGCGCCACTTCCGGTTTTCTGGTGGTGTATTGGAGATAGGAGTCTCACGGTCTTTCTTGCCCGGGCTGGCTTTGAACCACGATCGTCAGATCTCAGCCTCCTGAGTAGCTAGGATTACAGGCGTGAGCCACCAACACCCGGCTCCTACTGGCTCTTGATGGACATCTTTCCATGTGCTGATGTGCTAGTTAAGTCTCTGATCAAATCTTTGCTCACTTTCTAACTGAATTTTTTGTTTCCTAACTGTTGAATGTTCTGGATGTAATTCTTTTGTCAGACATGGATTTCCAAGTGTTTTGTTCTAATCAGTGGTTTCTCTTTTCTTCTTGTTAACAGGCTCTCTTGCAGAAGAAAAGTTTTTGATTTTGAAGGAATCTTTGAGTTTTGTCTTTTTTCACTTTTTGTACTGGTACTGGTCCTTAAGCTCTTGCTTGACTAGCTCTCACTCAAAGCTGGCACTCTGCTGCTTGAGCTATACATCCACTTCTGGCTTTTTGTTGGTTAACTGGAGGCTAATGAGTTTCATGAATGTCTTTTCTGTTATATACATTCCTATTATTAATGTATGTTATAGTATTATACTGTATATACTTATTATATACAGTAACATTAATAGACTAAACTCAGTATTTAATTTCTCTGAAAATACAAGCTCAGAGCACTTCAACAACTCTTCCTAATTAATAATACATCACCATCCAGTTGCTCTGTCCTTTCAAGAAGTTTAATCCTACAAATTAGACTTTCTAGCCATTACAGATGTTCTGCAAGTTTAATGGACATCTCGGTTTACTTATAACTCCCTTGGTTCACTGTTCCCACACCACAGCTCTTCATTCTGCAGCTTAGCATCGAAGGTCCTCATTTTCCTCTTATGGAAGGTCTACATTTGTCTTTTTTCTTGAAGACAGTTTTGTTAGGTGCAGAATGAAGTGATCCAAACTTTCTGTCGGTGCTTTCTGTAGGATTTAAGCTTCCTGTTTTGCACTGCTGCTGGTGGGAAGGGAGCCATCATGGACACTAATCCCCACCCTTTACCCTGTTCCCTTACTGTGGCATCTCAGCAGAAGCAAGGGTCCTTTCTCCCCCCTAATTCTCTCTCTCTGCCACAGTGTCTATTTCTCCTCTGTTCCTGCAGATGTCTCAGACATCTTCCCACTGGCCGTCTCTCACTTCATCATAGCCGGTGATGTTTAATCATCTAGTAAGGATCGAGTATGGATTCGTGGCCTGCAGAGGCCCAGGTGTCAAAGACTTGGTCCCCAGGGTGAGGCTCCTGGTGGGAATGAGGTAGGAGGTGGGGATGAGTGGAGCTCCTCATCCCATTGCTTTCTGGCTAGTGAAATGAGAGGCTCAACCTCATTGGGCCACTGGAATCTCCAGAGCCAAAAAAAAAAACCAAAACTTTCTCCAAAGTTGCTTTAGATATTTCATATTTCTTCACTACGATGCCAGAAATCTAACATACTCATTTCTAAAAAAAAATCTGCATTTCCTCAGCTATACCTAGTTATAGAAATAATATTAATATTTATTAATATAACTTTTGTGATTTCATCCTTTTATTTTAAAAAACAGTTCCAGTGGGGGAAATCCATGGCTACTTCTGCTACTGCTGCTTTCCCCTCAGTGTTGGGCCAGTCACGCCGATGACTTTTGGTGGGGCTCACACAGGGCCCGCTGCAGTGACCTGCAGCCCCCGCACTCCCTCTCAGCCATTGGCCTCTCCTCTGCTTCCCAGCGAGGAGGGGCTAGGGGCCAGGCCTTGGCACCTGCTGACTCCCTGTGGCTAACAAAGCACTTGAAAGCATGTTTCCCCCATGTCAAGCCGTCTGATAGGGCATATCTGCCCAATCTCCTTTCTGTGCACCCCAGAGGGCGGAGGCCCTGGTCCGGCTCATCTGGACGAGGGCCATCACAAACACCTCCCCTCACCCAGCAGGGCGATGTGATGTGAGGGACTTGGAAAGCCTGGATGTCACCCATCCCCCTAGTACTCTCACTGCTCTGCCTTCACTTTGCGAAATGGGATGCAAGGTGAGGGGTGGAGTGAACCACCACCGAAGGCCCCATGGTCTGAGTATCTCAACCCTACCCCACGGGTGACCTTTCTCCCTGCTCCCCGTGGGAGGGCCCTGCCCCTGCCCTCTGCCCTCCTCAGGACACAGCCTCTGGGGAGTCCTGTCAAACCAGGTCTCTAGGCAGCCCCTTGCTGGGCAGGCCTTCTTACCTACGGACAGTTACTCCGGGATTCCAGTCAATAGTGACCTTGCCACCCTCTTAGAAACTTCATTTCCCCGCATCCTCCACTCAGATGATGAGGATGGGGAGCTCCCTGGGGACAGAGGGCACAGAGCACAGCTGTAAGGTGGGTGGTGTCATCTCTCAGCCATTCCCTACCAACACACACACCCTTTCCACACTGCCCACTGCTGTCCAGCCATGCTCTGCCTGGTCTCTCGGCATCTGCCTGCAGGGGCACTGGCCTGGAGGGGAGAGGGCACAAAGGGACTGAGGGCAGGCAGAGCCAGGCTAGTTGCTGTCTGCAAGCAGAGAGCTCTGCTCCCCAGCCAGAGCAGACACAGTAGCACTGTCCTCCCTAGCCCTTCCTCTTTCCCTGCTCAGGACTCCAGTAGCTCTTCCCTCACCCGACTGCAAGCTCCAGACTGCAGCTAGCACCTCTGCCTCTTCAGGGAGCTGTCCACTATCCTCCTGCCTGCAACCTCCATGTGGGCCCCAGCTCTGTTGATTCCTGGTCACTGAAGTATGGACATCTGATTTAACTCAACTGAATTGAGTAGACATGACCTTCCTCATTTTCTTCCTGGCCTCTTGTGACCTGGTATGTAGGTGTGATGATGATAGTCCTATAGCCACCCTGGACCACAAGACCACAGAGCAGAGATGTGAGAGCCCTACAGCCACACTGGGCAAGAACCACAGAGAAGAGAGCGGAAGCCACGTGACTCTCAGGTGACTCCATGTTTCCTTCACATAAGAGCTAGAACTCAGCCTATCTTCTCCTAGACAAACTAGGCTGTGTTCTTTCCAATGCAGCTATGTTGAGTTTGAAGAGTAACCTTTGCCAACATGCTTAGCATGTCCTGTAACACTGAGCCCTGGGAGGCCTCTTGTCTGCTGTTGTCACTTCGGTATCCTACACGCCAGTACAGGGCCTAGCCCAGAGGAGGCGCCCAAACATACCACAGGATCAACCAGGACCAGGGCTTAGTGTGTGATTAGGATCAGAGCTAAGTCTGTGACCATGATTAAGGCTCAGTCTGTAGTTAGGACCAGAGCTGGATGTGTGACCAGGGTTGAAGTTCAGTGTGGGACCACAGTTGGGTTTTACTAGTAAGTATCAGGCTTAAGTTTGTGACCAGGATCAAGAATAAGTATATATCTGAGATGAGGGCTCAGTGGGGGACCACGGATGGAGCTTAGTGGGGAGCCAGGGTTGGGGATCCATGACCAGGATCATGGCTCCGTGTGGGGCCAGGCTTGGGGTTCAGCCTGGAACTGGAGTAAGGCTAGGTCCAGACAGTTCCCATAATACAGAAAGTACTCCCTGCCAGAGATAAACACCAACCACAAGGGGCATCTGTAGTGGACAAGAGCTCCAACTGGAGATTCACTAGGTCTTCCTGGAGGTGGTGGTGTTAAGCTGGTCCTGAGTTGTTCAGGACAGAGGCTGGTCTTCCCGAGGGCAGCAGGGAAGCACAAATCAGGGGCTGTGGGACATCTGTTCCAGGGTGATGAGGCTAGAAGGCCGGCCCTCTGCAGAGGGCAAATGCAGCCTGGCTATTAACATACCCAGGGGCTTTCCCAAGCCAGACCTCTGGCGCTGCTTGTCCCAGGTGAAAAGGTCAAATAAGGAAAGCCCCTGACTTGCCTATGGGACTGGAGCACTGCAGCTGCAGGAACTGGCATGCTACCCACTCAGGCCAGTACTTCAGACCCAGGGCTAGCCAAGGCCTCCAGCAGCCAGGCCTGGGCTCCCACAGGAGGCACTCTTGTGTGGCTCCAGACTGTGCTGCCCAACAGGGGCAGGAGATGCGAGGGGCAGCCAGACCTGGCAGAGTCAAAGCAGGCGGCAGAAGGAAGAATCTGAAGCCAGGGAAGCCGATGACTCCCTGCTGGAGGTGAAGGCAGAGGCGGCCCACCGGAACAGGGAACATCCAGCTCATTTACTGTCATCGTCCTGAGCAGCACGGCTGCTTTCCTGTCACTTTGTGCTCGTGTAAGAAAATGTCATTTGCAAGAAAAATCAATAGGTACAAAACAACATCCCACCCCCATACAGTGCTGAGTAATATATATACATAAATATATATGCATCTATTTACAACAGATATGAAATAGGAAAGAGATGGCTCCAGGCCCACAGTTCCTTTGGGTCATAGTGAAGCACATAGCCCAGGTCCTCTGGGTCTGTACATCCCCACAGAGGACAGGGCTTTCAAGATAGCTATTCCATACTCTTCTTGGCAGCTGGCCAAGCGGTCACTTCCAGGATCCAAGCCAGGGGGGCCCCAGTGTCTCCCCCTCCCCCAGCCAGCCTGCCTGTAGGGCGCTGGCCCCTGTGCCCAGCGGGCGGTGGCAGCTGCGGTGGGCTCCCTGTGACTGCCCCTCAGCCCCTTCCTGTCCCTGGGTAAGCCAGGGCCCCCCGGGCTGGTGCTCCAAGGCGCCCACCCGCAGGGTGCCATAGCCACACAGGCCAGAGAGCGAGGAGCTCCCCACCACGAGGGTTGCCATCCTCTCAGCCTCCCCGCTCCGGGAGGCCCAGACTCCCCTCTTCTCCCCCAAGAGGGGTTGGAGTTCCCATCGCCATCCTCCGCTCCACTCCGTCAGTGCCCCAAGGTCAGCCCTACACCTCTTCTTCTACCTTCAGGATCATTCCTGAGAAGACTTCCAGGCCTGGGGGAGATGCCGGAGAGCCTCTGGTGGGTCTGTGGGCCACACAGACAGCAGAGGTGCTGTCTGGGGCTGAGCATGAAGCTTCCTGAGCTGAGACCCCTGTCACCAGCCGCCCCAGGGTCAGGTTGAGGGCCAGCCTCCGGCCCTGCCCAGCCAGCTGCTGCAGCAGCTGGTTCTGCTTGGCCATCAGTGTGCTCTGCTGTGACCAGGAAGCCAACAGGGTACCCCACTGCCCATGCACGTCCAGCAGCCATTGCGCAAAAGCCGATGCCTCCGGTGGTGTCACAGGGGTCCTCCCAGAGGGTGAGGGCCCGAAGGTCCCCAAGAGCGTGGCCACAGGGGCTGCCGTGGCTGGAGAGGAGGCAGGCACATGGGTGACTCGGTGGAAGTCCAGGCTATCAGGCTCGGGTGGGCGGGGCCCATCCAGGGTTCGCAGAGGTAGCCACAAGCAGGTGGGGGCCTCATCCTCCTGGTCAGCTGGCAGGAAGACAGGAAGTGTCAAACCGAGCAGGCCAGGGACAGGGACTGGGGGGTCTCAGCACTGAAGCTGGTCAGGGCACGGTCTGCAGTGAGAGTGGTGCGCACCTGGCAGGTGAGGCAGCTACATTCCATAATGCAAAGCAGTGCTCTCCAGCAATGCCAGAACAGCACCATCCCAGCCTCACCTACCCATCTTCTAGGGGCCTGTGCGGCCCTCCTCTTGTCCACTCATCTTCCTGTGTCCACCTGTCCACTTGTGTTCCCCTTCTTTGTGTCTCCCTTCTCCCCATGTGTCTCCCTACCTGTTCACCAATGGTCCAGATCACTTTGATGTACCCATCTTCCTTCTGTCCAGCCATCTACCCACTGTCCATTCACTTATGCATTCATCCACCCACCCATCCTGCTGCCCATCATCTGTCTGTGTGTCCCAAGAGACAGCTCAGGAGGAGCAGGGGCCAGCTTATTTAGGGAAGTAGGAAAAGTCCCACTGAAGAGACCCTGAGAACACAGGCTCTCAGATCAGCTCTTGGTCTCCACAGCTCTGTGGCCCCAGGTAAAGCCCTTTTCTCCTCAACCCTCTAATTCCTAATCTACAAACAAAAGGCTGGGCTCAGCTTCCTAAGTGTGGGGTTTCTCTGGGTGTGACAAGTTCTGACCGACCTGGGAAAGGTCAGACTGGCAGGAACAGGGCACAGGGGTGACCTTTGGAGGTTTGCTCTTGCTCTGGCTAGTGTATGGCTTGAGTACCCAACACATTAGTCTCACTGGTAGCCTCCATTTTCCACTCCAGAGGCATAAGCCAATCTTGGGGAAAGGCCTGGCTGCTGCCCCCATAATCAGAAGGAGCCCTGTGTGGGTTTCAGAAATCCTAGCTTGCCTCTGCCCCACCCTGTCAATGAGTCCTTGGACTGGTCTGGAATCCACCAGCTGTCATGACAGGCTATTGTTGGCAACCCTGACCTTGAGTCTGTCTCTGACAGAAAAGGTACAAACATCAGCGCTCTCAGCCTCCACTGCTCATGCCCTCACACACATTCTTGCTGAAAGCCAGCCTGGGTCTGTGGCCACCCACCCAACATGAGATCCACCTTGTCTAGGCCTGAGCTTTTCCCGATTTGTCTACTCTGCTCTCTTCCCTTGCTTCCCAGGGCAACCTAGGGACCCCTCCAAGCACAATGGCTACCCCTCTCTTCTAGGCACAGCTAACACAGACGTCCACACGCCAGGCCCAGGTGGCTTCTGTATCTTCACCTTGCCCCCAGTAGAGTGCATACTCTTGTGGGTAAGCCCTCCCTGCCCTGGCAGGCCCAGGGAATCTTCTAGCCCCCATTAGCCTCACTCAGCACACTGGATGTTCACTCTGCCTGGGTTCTCGGACATACATGCTGAGTCAGGGCCAGGGCAAAGCAAAGGGGTCACGATGAATCAGACCTCTTCACACCAGGCCAATGTCCCAAACTGGCACAGGCAAAGTCAAGCCTTTTGTGGCGGCCACAGGTCAACAGGAGGTCAGCAGACGACTCTCAAGACTACTGAGTCCAATACAGCCTAGAAGCCAACGTAACCCAACTGCATTCCAAGTGCAGTCCCTGCACAGCCTCCGGCCCAGGTGAACGCACTAGCCCCTGCAAGCAGCAGGTGAAACGGAAGAGACTGGCATACCCAGCAGACCTCCAGAGACACAGGAGAGCCCCAGGGGTATCCTGGGGTGGCACAGCCAGTGAGGGCCACATGCTCAAGTCTCAGGAAGCACAGCCATGCAGGGAGACCGATCCCCCGACTCTGCTAGTCCACCTCCACTGTGCAACTGCTTCACGGGCCCAGAAGTTAGGAACCAAAGGGAGGGGACAGCCAAGTACAGATAGAGAGCACCTGGCACCAGCCACATGGGCACCCCAGAGCATGTTGCAGGCTCCTCTCCAACCACCTGCAGGGCTTGAGGGACAAAGGGACATGCGGTAGCTGGCAGAGCATGCACATGCTATCTTGCTTGGTGCTGGCAGTCCATTCAGGGAGCAGCTATTCTGGCCCTAATGATATCACCAAAGTTGGTCCCAATGCATCTGGTGGGTTTTGTATTTATATCAATGGGGTCCCTGAAGACTCTCCTAAGCCTCAGCCCAGGGTCCACAAAGCGGTCTCCTGGGACTCTAATACTTCCCAAGCCCCACTTGGGAAGCAGGCACTGGCAGTGGCCAGTACAGTCTGGCTAGGGATGGGCTGGTGGGGGGAGCCCGCTTACTTTGCAGGGTTTCTACAGCCTGGCCCTTGCCTTGGGGTGCTGGTGCTGGAAAGGTCTCGGCCACTGTGTGTGAGGACGAGGCCAGGGGCTGGGCTCTCGACAGCTTCCTGCACACAGCCCCTCGCAGGCCTGGCACTTGTGCTTGAGGTCGCTCAGGTCCCGGTGACAGTAGCCCAGCGTGTTCACGGCCTGCGGGATCCTGCTCCACACTCGGTGCACAGCACCCCACACTGCAGCGACAGTGACAGGCCACCCTCTGCACAGCACCTCTGTCTCCTTGCGCATCTTGGTGCGGGAGTGTGAACCTGGCAGCAGGCCTGCCTCAGCCATCGCAGAGCTGGAGCTTGGCCTGCTTGGGGCCTTCTTGCTGTTGGACCCTGGAAAGGCACCAGAAGCAGAGCAGTGGGCAAAGCTGTGGGAACACGCCAAGACCCTCACAACAGCCCGTGCTGCCTGGGGCCACACCATTCTCCAAGCTCTGCCTGCCTGGTCTCCAGCGGCTTGCCTAAGTATCCCTGTGGCAGGTCAGCCCTAATTAGTCCCTCTTCCCACTGGGAGGCAGTCCGTCACGGGGACATCTGGGGTGGACAAGCCATTGTGCATGCTGCACATTCCATCTGTCAGCCAGTCTCAAGTGGCAAAGGCATCAGTCGCTACCTTGAGAATCAACAGCAAGTGAGGGGCAGGATGAGGACAAGGTAAGTTTTAGGGAGGGAGGGCTGTCACATGGAACAGGCCTTGGGGGAAGCCTGTTTCTGGAGGGGAAGTGGGGACGGGCTAGCCTTGGGCTATTTGGAAGCACCCACTCAGGAGCCTGGCTCAAGCCCCACCACCTAGGGGAGCAGTGAAATGGGGGAGAATGCTCAGGATACTCAGCTCCCAGCTAGAGGCAGAGGCTGGTCCCACACATAGGCACAGATAAGGCACAGGTGTAGAGAGCTGCGTGCAGCCGCACCTTAAAGATGGCGCCGGCTTCCGTCCTCCGCCTTCCCGATGGCGAGTGCTCTCTGTGGTAAACAACTCCTTATATGGCTAAGGCATAGACTCTGGCTTGCTTCCGCGCACCTGGACCTAATTGGTGGTTCCCACGTGGCGTATCAGGGTTGGCTACCCAGCGGGTACTTAGGGCTGTGTGGGATTCTCCCCGGGGTCGGTCAGTCAGAAGAATGCTCAAAGGTCCTGAATAAACTGCTGAGAGAAGAGCTCGGTGTTGCGTCTTTCTTGCTGGTCAAGATGGACGCGACACACAGGCGTGGGTGGGCAGCTGAGACCAGAATCCCAGTCGGAAAGTGGCAGGGTCCTCCTGCTGGCCAGCTCAGACTTGTACCTTGGGCAATGGCAGCAAGGACCAAGCCAGGCTGAGTGAGGCTGGCACCTTTGGGACAAGGGGATGTGCCTGTGCGCGTAGGCTCCTCCAAGGCCCCCTGCCACAGGAGGGAGACAGAGGCACAGCAGGAGCGAGGACACCACTACTATCACGGCAGTGCCTGGCTAAGAAAGAACATACCATACGTGATGTCCAAGCCAGACTTGCCCTCAAAGGAAACAGTCAGAGCGTTCGGAGACCCTCACTTTGTACCCTACACCTAACTTGCTAGGTGGGTTATCAAGACTGCGTTAAAACCATCCTATCTCCTCATTGTACCAATACAGGTGGTCAGCTCCTGGCCAACCCTTCGTGGTGAAGTAGGGGAGGTCGCAGGAGATACACAGAGAGGTACAGGCAGGCTGGATCCACCTCTTCTCCCCAAAGCCAGCCGTGGGTACCAAGGTAAGCCAAGTAGGCAGGCCAAGGAAGGGGCAGGTCTGAGCAGTGACACCTGGCTGCTCTGGCCTGTGTTCCTCTTCCAGGAAAGGCCCGTCTGCAGTGAGTGAGGATGGTGTCACTTGGGCCTTCAGTCTCTCCTGCTTCCTACTACCCAAGGCAAGGCAACCCAGCGCCCTAGTGGAACAAAGTAGGTTTCCTTGAGCTACAAACCTGCGGCCCCTGTTCTACTCACACCAGGGCCACAAGGGCTCTTCATGTCACAGGGCCCACCCTGGGGAAGGGACTGATCCTGCCTCCCACATCCCCAGGACTTTCAAGGCTGTTCAGGGAAGGGAAGGAGTATTCAGGACATCCTTCCCTGGACAGGCTGTGGCTCCCCAACTACCGTCCCCACTTACCTGCCTACATGGGCACACGCATTCTCTAGGGCCAAACAGACCCAGAACCACCATGACAGCACCAGACTCCCAGGGGCCAGACTCCCAGGCTCTATCAGCTTACATCCCCAGGGCCATAGCTGCAGTCACGCCCCTTCCCTAACTAGGGCAGCAGGCCCTCACTGTGGGGTGGGGTCTCTGGGCATAGCAAGACCCAGAGTGGACCATGTGGTGACTGTGCAGGACGGGAAGGTGGAGAGTGGGCACTAGGCCCCACCCTGCCCATGTCCAGGTGGCTCCACCAGGCACCTCCAGATGGCCGGTGGCCAGAGTCAAGCAGGTACTCACCAATGGCATCTCCTTGCTCTGGCACCATGGAGCCCAAGTCCCCAATGACTTGGTTCACGTCCAGCAAGCCACTCTGCATGTTAGGAGCAGGGGCATGTGCAAAGGGAAGCCCAGAGCCTGACGTCCCTTAGAGTCTACCTGGTCTGCCCCTTCCAGTCATAGGAGCAAGCTGGGCCCAGAACAGGAAGGCAGGCAAGGAAGAAGATCTCATCAAAGGCAGAGCAAGATCTTAGTGCTCAGCACCTCCCCCAGGCCAAGCCCAAGACACTCAGCATGCAGGGACCACATGCCCTTCCATGAGTGCAGAGGCAGCGGGAAGGGCAGCCTCATCTAGGACACAACGTCCTGGACACTGGTGGGCTCAGCAGGGAAGCCAGAGCTCATCCAGAGAGGAACAGTCTGCCTGCACCATCTGCATGCCGCCACGATGGCGCGTCATGCTGCTCTCTCACCTCTTCCAACCCCACCTGTCCAACTTTATTCTAACTCCTTTTTCCAGCAAAGTGGCCAAGATGGTCATGAAAACCATGTGCTAGGGCTGTGCCAAGGGCCAGGCTCATACTGTCACCTTCACACCTGAGGAGAGGTTGAGGCACCCATGGGACAGAAGAGGACAAAGGAGGGATCAGGCCTTAGAGGTCCTCTGACCTCCCTGGCCTCTGGACACCTGGATTCTCCTGAGCACCACCGGCAGAGGTGCGCTCCTCTTCCTGCCTGCCATGAGATGCTGGGTGAGGCGGTGTCCTGAAGCCAGGTCTGCTCACTTACCATCCACAGGCACCAACCCTGCCAAGTCTCACATGGCACCAGGTGTATTACTGAGTTCAAGCCCAGGCTGGGGTAGTTCTTCATGTCTGCTGAGTCGGGCCGCTGCCCCAGCACACCCGCCCTCTTGGAGCTCATCATGGAGCTGAGATTGATTTTCGCAAGGGTCATTTCACCCCACTGCAAAATATTACAGGGAAATTCATTTTCTTTTTAGGAGTGTTCTGGGAAATGAAGCAATTAGCATGATCTTAAACCGACATGTTCTATCAATTGCAATTCAATTACTGGGCTTAAATATGGTGAGTCGTGATGGCTCAGAGAGTAGCTGTGGCCAGGAAGGAGGTGTGTGGGGCTGGGGGCTCAGCTCAGCTCCAGTCTACCTAACAGCACAATGGGGCAACAGAGAGAATGACTGGCACCAGCCCGGGCAGTTTCTAGGCTCCTGTTCCCTCCACCTGTGCTAAGAGTGAGGTCCCTGGCTCATGATCCACCCAAAGATGGACATATCAAGGTCACAAGCCAAAAGCTTCTGGCTCAGTTCAGTCTCAGACCCATTGGCCCCAACTCCACAGACTTCCAGGTTACTGATCCAAACCTATCAGAGGTTTGGCTTTTTTTTTTTCTTCTGGTATTGGGGTTTGAACTCAGAGCCTTTCGAGCAGGCACTCAACCACTTGAGCCATTCTAGCAGCCCTTGTTTTCTTCATTATTTTTCAGATAGTCTGGTACGTTCTTGTCAAGGACAGCTTTGGACCCTGACCTTCCTACCTCTGCCTCCTGAGTACAGGCTCATAGAGGCATGCCATCACATCCAGCTTCTGGCTGAGATGTATCTCACTAAACTTTTTTTCTTGGCTGGCCTCTAACTGATCCTCCCTATCTCCACCTCTCAGGATGATTCTTGGAACTTAACTGCAGCTTTGGCGTGGAGACTTCCCACCTTCTCGTTGGGATGCCATTCTCATACCACTGACTATAGCACTGCTCAGGTGAGCCAGTGTGGGTACTAGCACAAATCCAGCCCCTGACCTCCAGCTCTCTGTGTGGGCTTCCCACACACAGACCCAGGATCCCCTGGCAAGATCATGGATCGATGCACATAAGCCATCTTGGACAAAGGGGAGTCACAGTTGGAAAGAACACCCTGACCTTTTTAGGGGAGTGGAGAGGGGAAGTGGCCTTACTGCGGAGAACTTCCCTCCCCACAGACCCTGAGCAGGATCAGTCTGGCCCCTCTCCTAGCACATTGGGGCTGTGGGCAGGGTATGGACAGCCTGAGCTGTAGATGTCTCACGTCCAACTGACGCCCTTGCCTCTCCTATGGTTGTGCGGCCTTCAAGAGAGCTCCCAGCACTGCTGAACCACAGGCACCCCAGCCCTACCAGCCATGTCTCAGTAGTGCACTGCTGGGAGGTCAGAGAGAGCTCCTCCTGGGCTCCCATGACCTTGGGCGGCACGGGACAGGCTGGCCCTACCAACCACCCGGATGCATTCTACTGGAGCCAAGAATGGACTCTTTTTTCACCATCACTCATGCTCCAGGGTTTCCTGGGGTTGTCCCATTCACCCTGGCCCCTAGAGCAGAGGGAGGATGAGGAGTGGCATGGGACCCTAAGTAGCATCAGCAGAACATCTGGGTAGGTGCCACAGGCCTGGGTGCTGGCCCTGGGCCTGTCACTGACAGTGGGAGGCAGACCCTGCTACAGCGTGGGGATGTGGAGCTGGTCCACATAGTCACTGGGCGCCTGGGTAGACCTCAGTTGCTGGTAGGTGCTAAGTCCCAGATACACCAGATCCCATCTGGAGCCAGGGTGTCAGGTAGAGCAAGGCCAGCTTGCAGGCCCCAAGGCTCCCCTGTCTCAGTCCTGGGCTTTCCTGGAGGAGCCCTCTGGACCAAGCACCCTGGCCACCACCCTTGAGGCACAGGTGCTGCAGCTATGTGCCCTGGCGTGGGCAGAGAGGGAGCAAGGGAGACAGAAACATCTGAACTTAGTAAATGTTTAAATCATGCAATTATTTTCTGATTGCTTCTAAAACTAGAACTCATTAAATGCTCTCACAGAATCTTCTTTCCATAGAACTTTCTCCTATAAGACACAATAAAAGCTCAGTGTGAGTGTGTGTGTGCGTGCATGTGGTGTTCCCTCTTCACTTTAAGGAGGAAGAGAAAATATCACCACTACATTTTTCTCTATCACACAATCTCTTCTTATAATTAAGCTCTTGGCAACCATTACCTACAAAGGAACTGTTCCAGTTAGTGAACAGCTGACTTGTATATTCATTCATTCATTCGTTTGATTCTCCCTTTACCTGTGGTTAGCATGGGCCACATCAACCTCACCCTGAGTGGGGCTGGACACACCCACTGCCAAGTGGTTAGCGCAGCAGGGCCTCCAGCCCAGACCTTCCCAGACTTCCCCTTCTGAGAATCTCTACATTCAGTCCTGGGCCTTCGGGGGCCTGCCACGTAGCCATGGCGACAAAACAGCTAGTGTGCAGAAAGCCTGCACCTGGGTCAGGTGAGAGACCTGCTGGGGAGCTCCCGCAGGTAAGATGGGCTTGGCGTGGGAGACAGGTGCACAAGACAGGCTGGCAGAGCAGCAATACAGTTCCAGCTTAGATAGCTGGATGGTACCCTGTGGGCCTGCCACACACAATGGCCGGGGCCCAGGGCCACGCCCACCTCCCCCACTGCCCAGGGGCAGGTGAGGGCTCCATCCACCACCAGAGTGCTGTACCTCTGTCAAGGCTAAGTGGCTGGATGCCTAGGCTGACCTGTTTGTGCTCTGGGTCTAGGGTAACCTTGGCTACATAAGCCTCACCTGACGTAGGGGCTGACTGAGAAGCAGCTATGAGAATATCACTGTTGGGGCAGCCCAATTCTAACCTCAGGCTACCTGTGCTCGTCCCCACCCGGCACATATGTGCTGTGTGACACTGGCTCTTGTCGCATCTTTGATAAAACCAGAACACGGGAGCACGCACTGGGCATGCCTCCACAAGGGGCTGGGAAGATGTGTATGAATAGCAGCAGCAGAGCCATTATTAAAATGGACACTTCACAAGCCCACCTCTCCCCCCACCCTCTACCCACCCTGTTGCTCACCCACTCAACAGATACTCACAGCTAGAAGAGACACATCACTACCTCCATAGGCTTCCATCCTAGGGGAGGAAGATGGATGGTTACCAAGCCGTGGGTGTGTAATAAGCCTCCAATGGAGGAGGATCAAGGCTCCAGGTGAAGGGACAGCTGCAGAAGGAGTTGTCATGGCCTCTTGAGGAGGCCAGCAGCAGTAGAGGAAGGAACACAGCCGGCTGCATCTCCCAGAGAGCCATATCAGTCCACCACATGCTCTTCCTGCAGAGCTATGGGACACACCTGGGACACACCTCCCTGCGCAGAGCCACGGACCCTCTCCTGGGCCTAGCCTGGCTTTGCCTCTGAGTAGACTGCAGTTTCCTCAGATACCTGAGCAGCAATCTAAGAAGTCTGAGTACATACAGCAGCCATGCTGTGGGGAAGCCCATGCTACAGATGTGAACTGGTGGAGACAATCCAATAGACAGACCCTACTGGGTTCTTGTAGACCAGGCATCAGATGCAGAATAAGTAAGTGTCAGGGAGCTTCCAACCTCTAGTTGTTCAAGTCACCCTCAACTCAAGTCTTCCCACCTCAGGCCCCAGAAACTACAAAGTAGACACAAGCCAGCCCAAGGAGTTGCCTTACAACTCCTAATCAGCACTCCTGACAAATGGCCCACCCAAGCATAAAGTGTGCAGGTCAGAGCAGGAGAGGGCGCCAAGGGATACACCTGCACTCAAGTTGGAAAAAGACCCATGGGGAGCCAACAATGTCAAGACCAAGCCCATCATGGAGGCTGGCCCCAAGGGTCCTCAGGCTGAGTACGATCGTGACAGATCAGCTTGGAGCCCCAACCTACAGCTTCTCACTCAGCGCTTAATTGGACCTGATCCCGGCAAGCCAAGATCTACCCCACTGTTCCTGGACCACTGACCCCTTACAAGCCAAGATGCCCTCCAAGAGCCTTTTTTGTTCCTTTTTTTTTTGTTGGTCATGGGGCCTGAACTCTGGGCCTGGGTACTGCCCCTCAGCTCTTCAGCTCAAGGTGAGCGTTCTACCACTTGAGCCATAGCGCCTCTTCTGGCTTTTTTCTTTTTGCTTATGTGGTGCTGAGGAATTGAACACAGGGCCTCATGCATGCTCATGCATGCAAGGCAAACACTCTACCACTGAGCCATCTTCCCAGCCCCCCCCAATAGCCTTTTGAGGATCCATTACATTGGCTGACTGACACATGAGCTGTCTAGGCTGGTAGGCCTTGAAGAAAGCATCATAGATCAGCCTACTTCACAGATAGAATGACTGAGGCAAGAAGCAATTTATGGGCAGCCTGCTACTTTACACAGAACTAGGATCTAAAGCCAGTCACTGCATCTCAAGCCTAGCCATTTGTCCCACAGATTCTAGGGAGGTGGAGACATTTGACTCACTGAGTGACCACCCACTCTAAACCCTCCCACATCTGAGAGCTTTGGAATTTACATTCAGGAGCCACCAAGATTAGATCACTTTGTGGTCTGCCTCCAGGAGATACTCAGCTTACAGAAAGGAAAAATGGCTGAAAGCCATGGGGCACACTTGGTCTGTGTCAGTTACGACCCACCCTGGGCCCCTTTCCCTATCTGTCCACCCCACATCCCACATGTCTGTCGATGCGTCCTCTCTGTTCTGGCAGGAAATATGAGCAATCTGGACCAACAAGGAACCAACCACATGGACACTCACGGCGGTCACTTCCTCTCTCATGGCTGGGCTTGCTGGGCCCTCCCTCCATCTTCCATCTCCAGAGCTGCTGTCACCAAGACCTGCTGCATACTGGGGGAGGGTTCTGAAAGGCTAATAACAATTTGTGCCCTGTTTTCCCCATTTTCAAAGACCAAAGGGAGTGAATGATACAGGGAGAGGAGCATTCATGACAAATGCCTTCGCAGGCTCCCACTCCATTGCTTCTTCCAGAGCTGGCTGCACACTGGCATGAGGGAGGATCCATGTCTTCTGCACAGCCCCCACAGCGGAGGAGGAAGCCAAGGCTGTAAAGGCAGGACTGCTCATGTCTACCCAAGGCCCCAGCCAAGCCCAGTACAGATGGGCTAAGAGAGAACTGTGTTGAGACAAGCCCAGGCCTGGATTGAGGATCCTGTGGGCTGTACACAGGCTGAGACCCTCAAGTGAATTCAGTATGGCCCTGCATTGGCCTCAGGCTGGCTCCATCCTGCACTGAACAACTGTAACAGCCTTTGCCTGGGCCCCCTTAGCCCTGGGAAAGCCATTGGCTCTGTTCACATTCACCAAGCAGAACCAGAGAGCACTGCCCAGGGCCCCAGGCTGCCATGTAGGAGTCCTACTGAAGAAAGGGGTAGCAGTGGAGACCACCTAGGCCTCTGCTCTGTGGAACTTCATCCTGGGACCACTGCAGTGCACCTCATGTGCACACAAGGTGTCTGCCTGACACTATCCATCCTATTTCAGGAGACTGAAAGTGACCCTGGGTGGTCGGTTCCATCCACAGGCTCAGGATGAGGGACTCCCTTCCCCAAAGCACAGCAGGGAACGCTATGACCACCCTACTGTCCCTGCTGAGCCATCGTGAGCCCAGAGGTGAACAGTCACAGTGCTGGATTCACCCTGGCCTGCATGCTGCCTCCCCTGGCCACTGGCCCCCATAATCAAGTGTCACAAGAGCAGTCTCTGTGGCAGCACATGCTCCTATTCCCATTGCCTTCCTGCAGCCCTGCTGTGAGCCTCTCCCATCCCCCAGGGACAGGTCAAGCCTGTGCTCCCCAGGACTGTCCTTGGAGGCTGGATTTGAGAGCTCCAGGGGGGTAGACTTGTGGCCTCTCCTGGGTCTCCCAGGGTCCTAGCCACACATTTGCTCCCCTGGGGAGACCCTACTGTGCCAACAGAGGACCTAACACCTGTGTGTGCTGAGCTGTTCTCTGAAACAACCATCCAGCCAGACACAGCTCCCAGCAGTCTCCCACCAGGATGCTGGGACCCACGTGGCATCCCTTTCAGCAGCTTGAGGACAGGACAGCTCCTGGAGGCAGGCAGTACTGGGAAGCAGTCCTGAGAAATAAGCACCCCTCCACCAGACAGAGGTGGGAAGACAGCAGTCAGGCTGGGGTGACTGAAGTGGGTGAGGGATAGGGGCTTGACTTCAGTGCTCAGTGGTACGCACCTCCTTCCAGGCCTGCTGGCTGACCATTTGGGAAGTATGGGATGTCTTCGCTTTCTGTAAGGGTCCACTCTAAGGGCCATTTGCACTAGAAGCCCAGCTTCTGGGTGACTGAGGGCAGGCAGGCCCAGCACCTTTTAGATAAGGAGGCCCAGAGGGAAGGAAAAGCACACTCTTGGTCATATACACTCAGGTCCTACAGCCAGCAGAGCCATGTCCTGCCAACAAACTGTTCTGCGCACTGCACTGCAAGGCACTCACTCTCATATGTGCACCCCTCACCCACATTCTGTAGCTGAACAGCTCTCAGCTAGCAGTATGACAGACCTGCGAGTCTTGAGAAGCCACAAGCAAGGTACATGGAGTCCCCACACCCACGACTGGCTCCAACAGCTCATCCCGACACCTGCTGTAAACAGTACTAAATTGCAGGTTCAGCCATGTGCAGTTTGCTTAACGACCAGAAAACCATCCGCTGGCTCCAAGACTCCAGGCTCTCCCCAAAGACACCTGACAGCCAGACAGGGCAGTTCAGTCAGCCCAGGCCAGGGCTGAGTGCACTACAGCAGGCTGACTCTCTGGGTCCCACAGTCCCCAGCCAGCACCCCACACACACTGCGTCCAACCTCACAGCCTTATCTCCACCTGAAGGATGGCTTCCAAATTCTCCTCTGTGATGTCTGGAGGCGGCTCTTACTCCTGGCCCTGCCACCTGCTATGACCTTCACTGGAGGTCTTCTCATTGTTGGCCAGCTCCACAAAAGGAGCCCGGAGGCTCTGCTGAGGATGCAAACAGGACATTACTACTCACACCCTTGGATCATCCTGGACCCCAGGCTTGGTCTGTCTTCTTCCCTAGACCCAGCAGGACACCTCTGCCCACAGCTCAGGGTGAGAAGGTGAGGCTCGAGGCACACCTGACCTGGGCACCAGGTGGTAAGGCCTGGAAGCTAGTGTGCCCAAGCTCTCATCCACAGTGCTGCAGGAAAGAGACTGGATCACAGGGCTGCTATTTGCACTGACAGAGATGTGGATGCTGGATCCCTGCCCTAAGGCCCATATCTCCATCCCAGGCCTGGCTAAAGGAAGAACCCAGCAAGCTTCAATGGTCATGCCCTCAAGCCAGGACTGCCATGTCCTGGGCTAACTTGGAGCCCAGGGACACAGCCCCAAGCTCAGGTACACACATCCCACATTCCCAGCCTCTAAGGAGGCACAGCTTTTGTGAGCCCTCAGGAACATGTCAGAGACACAGAAGTCCACCTTCATATTTGGAGGCTGTGGACCCACCACAGGCCCAGATAAGGAGCTGGGCACAGACCCAGCTGCAGCTACCGGCAAAGGCTCAGAAGTAAGCCTGGAATCATATAGCAGGGCAGGTACCACTGGGGAGGGGCTTCAGGGAGTTTTCAACTTGCTTTTATCCTTTCACTGAGTTCTTAAACTCACATTTTTTTAATTCAATAAAAGTGTGCACTTTCTCTCCCCTGAACCCCATTTGCTCTCTAGTGGGACAACCTGGCATAGTTTTGTGACTCTTCAAGGCAGTAAGCAGGAAGAACAGCTAGACATCAATCTGGTCCTGTGCACTGGACAAATGCGTAAGGATTCTCTGCCAGCCTCCTAAGTTCATCCCAAGTGTAGAGGCCATGTCTGGGTCTCTGACCTACTTCCCTTCACTTGGACCCCACCAACCCTAGCTAGGAATTAGCCCTGCTCTGCCCAAGACAGCTCCCTGACATGGGTGCTGGACAGTCAGAGGGGTATAGCTACTAGCCAGCTCATGCACCCCAGGCCCTCAGCTATTACTGGCCCCCAATGTAGGTGGCTGGAAATGGAAGCTGAAAGACAAAACTAGAATTCCACCCAGAACTGGCCTCTGACATACCCCCTCTCCTTTTCCCTCCTCCTCCCCCAGCCTGCTGATGGCTGGGACCTATCCCAGACACCTGCAAGGGGACTGGAGAAACTGTAGCCTGATTATATTCTGCCTTTTCCTCATTACAGGAAGATTCTGTGTATGCCTAAACAAAGGCCACCTCGCACCCCAGGGCAGCTCATGTTGGCTGTGTGCAAAGTGCTGGCCAATCCTACGCCAGAGGAAGTGTCTACAGGCAACCATGTCTTTTGTGCTGCAATCAAGTCCCACCTGGCCTTCCCATGCCCCTGCACCGAGGACGGTGCATTAACAGTCAGGGCCCAGGAGGCTCAGTTAGGAAGACAAAGTCCGCTTCAGCACTCATAGGAGGCCCTTCTGTCAGCAGAGCAGTGAAGGGCAAGACTCTGGAATGCAAGTGGAAAGATGGAGCGTTAGCGGCCTGCCTCCCTCACCTTCCTTTCTGGCACACTTAGGGGGAACTCAGGGTGCTCTGTGGCTGCAATGGGAGGCTAGGTGGGAACCCAAGTGCTCCTGGACCCAAGCTGGGCCCTGCTTCTCCTGTCCTGGCGAGAAACCACATCAAGGGGCACACGGGGCTATGCAGCTGCAGCCTCCTGTGAATGAGTCCCCACGGCCTGCCTGAGGATCTGATGATGGAGCCACAGAAAGACTGGCACATCAGCCACTCCACACATTCCCCAGGACCCACAGGTGAGGTGGCCACTCTCACCTAGACAGGAACGGTGGAGCTGCCCTCACCATTTCCTTTCCCACGCACCCGGTGAACATGGGGAAGTCACAGAGGCCTTCGCATAAATCAATACGTGGATAGATGAATATAAAAGATCTAAGAAATCTGTTGACAAGCTCTTCTTGTCCAAGTCAGTAATTATCGCCTCCATTCCCTTTCCTGTGGGTGGAGGAAGTGTGCAGGGCCCTGCAGGTGGGGGAGGAAGGCGCTGGCCCTGGGCCAGGCCCCACTCCACAGTGCCTCCTGCATTGCACTCTTCCTGAGCTTTCTGGGCACCTAGAAAGACCTGCCCAGCTGGGGAGGCCAGGAGGAGGCGGGGGGGGGAAGGGGGGCGGTGGCATGAGAGGGAGGGTGGCACGGGAAGGGAAGGTCCTGCCTCAGCACAGGCTCCTGTTCTGAGATCTGACCTCGATGACATGTGACCTCTTCCTTCACATGGGAAGAGGTTCTCTCTGACACTCGAGGTCTGTGACTGGCAATCACCACACACCACGCTGCCTGACCTTGTCTGCCAAGCTCCACAGGAACCTGATCTTACATGTACCAGCCTCTCATCTAAGATGTGACCTCCTAGCCATGCGACCGAACTGAGCCACCATACCCACTTCAGCCACCTTGCACTGCCACCATCATGTAAGAGAGACACCTCAATGAAAGGCTGAGGTACAGTAGAGATGGGGGGAGCCCAGTGAAGACACGAGACCCTGACTGCCACCCCAGCACTGGCGGTGCTCCGCTCTCAGCAGTAGGCCTACCACAGTCCAACTGAAGCCTGTCAACCTCTCAGTCCTGGCCTGGGACACACCTGGGCCAGCTTCTGAAACAGTCCAGGTGAATGCGATCAGACCACCTGGAAGCCTCTTCTCTACTGTTAGGAGGTCAGGAGAGCTGGAAGAATGGGGATGCATTCCTACCACCACTATGCTAGGTGAAGATGGGTTATAGGATGCCCTGTGTGACGTCACCATGAGCTGAACAGAAGGTGCTGGCCACTCATGCTGATTACAAGGGACTAGAGCCATCAGCACCACTGATGAGAAGCTGGGAGGAGAGGACGGAGAGGCTACAAGTGGATGAAGCCAGTCTTCAGGGCAAGGAAACACGAGCTGGGGTCAGCCTCACTTCCACAGCCCCTCCCTCCCTGCAGCACTCGACGACAGAAAGTTTCACAGTGGAGGATCTCCCAGCCCTCTTGTGAGGCTGACAAAGCCCTCCTTTATTCTGCCCACAAAGGCCCAGTTTGGGTCTTGAGCTCTGAAGCCTGGATTGAGGATTTGCTGGCCAGGTGCTGGGGCAGAGCTTGGGCCTGTGATGGCTTTCCAGCAAGAGCCCGACAAAGGCGGCTTTCTCCTCCAGGGCAGAGCCTGGGTCCTGTGTAGTAGGAAGCAATGTGTCCTACAGTGTGACCACTGGGAAGGAGCTGCACACGTCTGGTTTCCCGTGAGAAGACACAAGGCTGGGGTGTGCGTTTGCTTGCATATAGGGATAATGATGCTCACCCTCTGCCCAGGGGAAGCAAGGAGACACACAGCTAGGAAGCATCTAGGACTCTGGGAAATGGGGCACTTTCTCATGCACTCTGACCCCGGAGGAGAGAGTAAAGCCAAGGTGCCAGCCACTCCCTTGCTTGGGAACATCAGTTGGCCATCAATTCCTCCAAATGACACCCGACTGTTTATTAGAGACGGAAGTTTCTGTCAAAGCTGTTGCAATCCTTCCCCAAGAACCACAGTAAATAAGAGGGAAAAGGAAGCCCAGGAACAAGGCACAACTCTTTTCTGTCTCCCAGACATGAAGCCATGACAAGGGGCTTCCAGCCAGCCTGTGGTGATGAGCACATGTAACCGCCATGGCCTGGGGACAATGAAGCTCTGGCAGGAATCAGTGCCAAGTTAACCAACAGTGGCACAAAACCAGACCATGACCTGCTGCTGTGCTTTGTTCCCAACCCAGCCACTGCTCTGCCTGAGACAGTGAGCAGCATTGGCTGCTGCTCACTAGCTAAGGTGGCCAGGGTTTGAGGCTGACCTCATAGGCAGTGTCTCACCATGGCCAAGGTTTCCAACTCTACCCAGCCTGTGCCACTCATACCCACTCCCAACTCTCAGCTCAGGGAGAGCAGGGGTTGACAGGTGCCCTTCCCTCTATTCTACTGCAAGACTAATCTGACAGTAAGCCTTTTGTTGAGCAAGGCCAAGTATCAATCACAGCTTCTGAAATTCCTGGAAATAAACTAACCTTTCATAATTTCAGGAGCACCTCTGATGGTCTCCTTCCTGTGAAAATACCCCACACCTATGGGTCAGCAAGTAGCTCCTGAGTGTCAGCCTGTGTTGTGCAATAGACATTTCTAGTATATCACCTTAACAATAAAAGTATGTACATATATGTGGGGTTTATATATTAATGCATTACAATGTATCCTGTAAATGTAAGCAATTCCTATTTGTCAACTGAAAGTGAAAACATTCTTTTAAAGATTAAAAACAAAACAAGAAGGTACTTCCAGACCAGCCACAGCAAGCCATACAGAGGTCTTCCTCAGCCCTGGTCCTGACCCAGCCCCTGGCTTCCAAGGCTCCCCACCTGGCCTGACCTTGACCTCTACAGAATGGAATCTCAGGTGTTTTCAGATTGGTTCCTCCTTTCTTGACTCAGGCACAGCTACCCTGGCAGACCCCAACAGCCACAGTTCATTTTTTGGTGGCTGCCATCTCTTGCAGTATCAATTCAGCATGAGTGTTTTCTCCACTCTGTGATAGGCTGGCTGTGTACCCAGGTTTGGGTGCCACATGTGCTATGAGTACTCTCACATGTGACCTATGGTGGACACACACATGCTTTTCTTTGGGTAGAAATGCAAGATCAAAGGAAGAAAATGCTAGGCCTGGGCCTCTTGCATTCCAAATCAGGGGTACCTGTGTACACACTGACCAGCAGTGCCTGAGAACCTGGACATCTTCGGACACTTCTAGTCAGGCTCATGTAGTTAATTTTGGGTATGAGACTGTGTGGTGATGTCTCATCATGGGCACACTTTCCCTTTTTCTAACAGCTAAGGTGATTGAGAACAAGTTCACATACTCGATAGTCACTTGGGAATCCTTTTGGGGAATAGAGATCTTTATGTGTTGTAGATCTAAGTCTTTTTCAGATACATGTTGTCTAGCCATTCTCTCGCTCTGTGGGTTGCCTTTTTGCTCTTAAACTTATGCTTCCCATCTATCTTACTCTCTGAAGTCGGTACTTCCTTTTCTGTACAAGAAAAGTAGATGCCCAGGTGCTTCCTTTGGTGGGCTCACGGAGACCCTTCCACATGAGGGCTGTGAGCCTCAGGAAATGGTTCTGTGCACAGGTGGGTTCCATTTCATTAAGGATCTCTTTCTTCAGTTCAACTATGCAAGTGACCTAACATCAAGCCCTGGATAAAGTAAGTGGTCTCCACTGCATCCAGACTCCATACCACATCCTGTGACCCCTCCACACCAATTTCACACCTTGTAGTGTTCTGAAGGTATGATGTCTCCACTTCTGGTCTTCAGAATCACCGCTGCTATTCTGGGTCTTCTGTATTTCCACACACATGTTTAACATTACCTAGGCATGCAGTAACACTGCAAAGCCTCCACCCTGCCCGACAGGATCTGTGCACCAGCAGTTGAGAACTGAGCACTCTTTAAACTTGGTGTCCCCTCCATTCTTTAGTTCTTCCCTGTCTCTCAGAAAGGATTTGTCATTTTCCATGCAGAGGCCTTAAGCAGCCACTCACCAAGTTCTTACTTATGATGCTACTAAAATAGTGTCACTTTAAGAAAATGGAAAACAAACAGTCTCTGGCTGTGTTGCCCAGGGCAGTCACAACTTCTGAGCTCAAGTGATCACCTCTGTCTGCTTCCCAAGTAGCTAGGACTGCACACCCGTCACCACAACTGGCTAGAATGGCAGTACTTCCAAGCAGACACTGTTTTCCTTCCTGTGGGCACTTGGAAGTTCCAACACCCTCACAGATCCACTCGGTGCTAGGGCACAGCTGCCGTCCAACACCCATGGCTCCTGCTGGGTCTTTGTCCTGGGTCTCCTCTTCCCACCTACTGCATTGCAAAACCCTGCATAATGGTAATGGAGGAGACAGAACTCCACTTCCACGCTGTCTTTGATCTCCGAAGACTTGCTTTTTCCTCAGCACATGTGCTGTCTGCTGCAGGCTTCTGAAGTCACCTCCGATCAGGTCGGAGCATCCTGTGGAGTCCCACTTTGCTGGATGAGCTATCCTGAGTGGTACTAAATTTTATCATGCTTGTCTCTGAATCTGCTGGGATGACCTGATAGGCTGTTACCCATTCTGTTAATGATTGGATCATACCAGCCTTGCATTCCTGCAGCAAACCCACTTTGCAACAATGGGCTATCCTCAGGCATTGCTAGATTTTATTGGTTGGACCTTTGTTCATCTTCATTAAAACTTACATGGGGCTTTGCTGCTTGTGACATTCTCCTCAGAAGCTGAAGTTCCCGCAATGGGCAATGAGCTTGGGAGCTGCCAGTTCTATCCATTCCAGTATTGTTTCTGTGAGTTATTTACTCATTGGATATTTGGAGGAATTCACTCAAATTTATCTAGGCCTGACAGTTATATTACAGTCATACTTTCTTTAGGAACTGTTGAACATTCCAGATTCTCTGCATATCCTGAACAGTTAGTTTCTGTGCACAGGTGGGTTATAAATATAAAATATAAGTATGTACATAAAAGCAAATTTATGTTATATATTTTTTGTTTACAAATATAAAGGCTAAACTGTCAAGTATGTGGGCATAAAGCTGTTCGTAATACTTTTTTTTTTTTTTGATCAGTTGTGGGGCTTGAACTCTGGGCCTGGGCGCTGTCCCTCACTCAGCTCTTCAGCTCAAGGCGAGTGCTCTACCACTTGAGCTACAGCGCCACTTCCAGTTTTCTGGTGGTTTATTGGAGATAGGAGTCTCATGGTCTCTCCTGCCCGGGCTGGCTTTGAACCGCGATCCTCAGATCTCAGCCTCCTGAGTAGCTAGGATTACAGGCGTGAGCCACCAGCGCCTGGCTTTGTTCGTAATACTTTTACAGAACTTGTTTTGAACTTGTACGATATCCCCTGTAAGGACCCACTTTCTTTCCGGATGCCAGGGGCTGGGGTGTTCTGGACTCATCCTGTGACAGTGCAGAATTTCATTAATCCTCTACAGAACCAGGTCTTCTGACTTTGCACTGTCTGTCCACTGTGGGTGCCATCTCCTCTGCTGGTTTTTCTTTTAGTAGCAAGCCCATGTCTACACATATGGAAAGGGCCCATACTATCACCCCCAGCGCTGTCTTCCAAGGTGGTTCTTTCACTTGTGAAATCTTTCTGTTTCTCAAAATCAGTTTTTTTCATTTTACCTTCTGGGAGGGAAGGACAGGCATGGGGCCTCCTCCTATAGGCCTGAGAGGCCACCTTTTGTTTCCAGATTCACAGAGCCCCTCGGTTTCCCTGTAAAATTCTTATAAATGAGCTGGCTTTGTTTTCCAGACTGGTGAGATGCATGTTACAGAGTGGACACCCTTTGAGGGAGCTGCCTGGCTCTGGCTACCTGGAGAGCCCAGAGTTCTCACACTCTTCTTCTCAGCCAAGGACACAGCACTGTGCCATAAAAGAACGTGCCTGACCTCCAAATCACTCTCTAACATTCTCTCATCTTACAAGTACTCTGCTACCACCAGAGGCAAATAGATGGGACTGTGTGACCTTCAACTTTCAGCCTCTGAAATGATGAGCTCAGTAAACATTTTTCTTTATAAAGACTCAAGATTCTAGCATTTTGTTATAGTTACAGAATGCAGACTAAGATTGCCTGGATATCAATGAGTCCTTCTCAGTACCCAAAACTCTCAGGTTTATTATTTTGGACCTTCACCCATATTAAGCACTGGGCCAAATCCTAAAGGGCTAACACCAGTTTTTAAAGTTGTTCCTCTCCCTTAGACCCCTGCCTGCACCATTCCTGCTCTTCCTCACAGCACAGATGGCAGTAGACTCTACTGTTCTAACACCTTGACCACATTCGGCACCCACCTGCTGGCTGCCCCTCCGAGCCATGGGAAGCAGTGCTCTGGACTTTTCTGCAATTTTATGTTGGGAAGATAAGAACAAAAATGGTGGGGAAAAGAGGTGATCAGAAAAACAGCAGGCCCCAGTGACCCAGCACATATTGCTGCCCATTCCCTGAGATAGTAGGCTGCCCTGGGCCTGAGAAAACTCACCCTAAGCCAGCCTCTGCAGGAACTTCCTGGACACGTGTGCTTGCTGGGCCTCAGCTTCCCCAGCTGTCAAAATGGGGTGAGACTTGTTCTTCCTCTCAAGAAGTAAAACTCTACACACTCACTCATCATCCTGAGGACATGCTACCAGATACTGGCCATCTAAGCAATGTCTCCAAGGAGGGCCCTTTTACCTACTCTGGGAATGGCCAGACCAGGACAACACAGGGTGAGGTAGCAAGAGTGGATGCTGAGGGATCAAGCCCTCCCTCAGATGCTACCCAGGTACCTCACTTTTGTACCATTCCATAGTGCTGGATGGCTTCTAAGAACTGAGTTTTCAGTCAGTCCAGCTTCAGGTGCTCCTGCTACAAAGAGAGGGCAGCTTACAGGGCCTGGGCCTGGTCTCCTAAAGTTCCTTATACTGTAGGGACCTGCCCTGAGCCTTGTCTCCTAGAGCTCCTTGTCCTGTAGGGACTAGCCCTTGGCCTCAACTCTCAGAACTCCATGTCCTATAGGTACCAGCTCTGGGCCTCATCTCTCACAACTCCTAGTCCTGTAAGGACCAGCCCTGGGGCCTCACTTCTTAGAGTCTGCAACCTCTAAGGACTACCTTGTGACTTCCAAGCCCAGAGCTCATCATATCCCTCCACTCCAGAAGAGCCACACCCCTATCTTCTTCTGGCATTTTCATGCACTCCATCCTGAGCACTGGGCTCACTGCCATCCATGGCCTCCCACCATTCCTAGAGACAGGCTCTCTGTCATGTGCTACTGTCCTTGTGCCTACTGGCTACCTCCTTTACAGTGGTCCTGAGGAGCTGCTTCAGCACTGGCCATTGGTCCATGCATGAGCCCAGGACAGAGTGAGGACCCCAGTCCATCACACTGTGTGCAAGGGTGGAGACCTGAATGGCTGTTGAACTGTGGAAGCTGGGCCACTGGGCCATTGCCTCACTACCACCTGTATTGATGACCAACTCAGACCAGGCTCACTAGGGAAGAGAAAGGGGTCTGACCATGGTGCCTGGGTTCAGCCTCCAGAGTACCGAGGAGAGGGAGCTCTACACTGGCCACGTGATGAAGTGGTGAGTACTGAGCAGAAGCTCAGCCAGGGAAGACTGAACAGTATACTGCACATACCATGCCATTCACATAGGGACATATAAAATCTGAGGATTTCAGTATCCAGACATAGTTCCCTGTGGACACTAAGGGACAACTGTTGAGTGCCCCCCTGCTCTGGGGCTCAGGCTCCACGCTATGGTCCTGACAGCAAACATCGAGACAAGGGATGATTTAGAAAGACCAGAGCTCACATCCAGCCATCTAGCTGCACACTGGGATAGGACTGTCTTCCCTGCAGAGGGAGGGAGAAGCCAGCCAGTACCGTCAGTGAGGACAGTGGCAGCCTCAGCATGGGACTTCCCGGGACCTGGAGTGTGAGAGCATCACAGCATTGGCCTGTTGCTTATCTGACCACAAATATGGGATGTCCCATGAACCTGAGGATTCAGTAGGTGCTGGTTAAGTGTGGACTCGGGCCAAATGTCCTTGGCCTCACCAGGAAGGAGTTGGCTCAGACTCACAATGTAGTGCCTTTTGGGACCTAGCACATGCATTACGTAAGAGGCACCCAGGTAGGATTTTTACAAAGGAATAGATGAACCAGCAGAGGAAGGCATTCAAAGGCACAGAATACAGAACAGTGCTACACGTGGAAAGGCCAGGCATCAAAGGCAACGTGACAAAGCCACAGGAAATGTTGGTCGTCACACTTCTGGTTTCCCCTCTGAGGATGATGTCCTGCCAGACTCAGAACCAGAGCAGCACTGGTCTCTCCTGGGAAGATTGTGGGTGTGACTGTAAGATCACACACAGAACGAAGACTATATGCTCTGACTCTGTTCATCCTATCATTGGGTAACTGGCCACTGCCAGTTGTCTTTTTTTTTTGTCAATCATGGGGCTTGAACTCTGGGTCCGGGCACTGTCCCTGAGCTCTTCAGCTCAAGGCTAGTTCTCTACCACTTGAGCCACAACGCCATTTCTGGTTTTCTGGCGGCTAATTGGAGATAAGAGTCTCATGGACTTTCCTGCCCAGACTGGCTTTGAACCTAGATAGCAGCCTCCTGAGTAACTAGGATTACAGGTGTGAGCCACTGGCACCCGGCATTGTCTTTTTAGTATAACAAAACTTTGGGGACTAAGCTATTTGTTTTTAGGAAAAGCTTTACAAAGGTCTAACTCAGATACCACAAAATGTACCCATTTTATGTGTCAGTTCAGTACTGTGTAGCTGCACAATCATCCCCAGAGCCCAGTCACCCCAAGACCCACCAGTCCACATCTGTCTGCACAGAGCTGTACATCTCCCTAATGCTGCACACCTCCCTAATGCTGCACACCTCCCTAACTCTGTACACCTAACACTGCACACCTCCCTAACAATACACACCTCCTTAACGCTGCACACCTAATGCTGTGCACCTCCCTAATACTGCGCATGTAATGCTGTATACCTTCCTAACGCTGTGCACCTCCCTAACACTGCACACCTCCTTAATGCTGTACACTGTGTGCAGCACACCTGGCTTCTTCCGTTTGCCTGCCATGTGAGCCATACCCACTCTGGCTCCAGAGCCCCTCCCTTCCACTGCGTCAATAGTGTCTCCTGGCAGAGATGAGAACCACACATGGCTCTGACACCAAAGGGTAGCAGACTCTTCTGTCAAAGGCCAGCTGTGTGCTATCTTAGGCTCTGCAGGCAGTCTGCCACGACAACCAAGTCCACTGTGGCAGGAAAGCAGCCATGGACAGAGCACAGGATTAGTGAGGCTGGGCTTCTGCTCTACAGTGTAGGGCTAGTAGCAGTGCTTCCTTTGTGATGAGCTCCCTGCAATCTCCAGGGCATGAATAACAACGAGTGTGCTGGCCCAATGTGGGCGGTACAGCTGGGCAGCATGGCTGGGATAGTGGCATGGGAGTGCACATGGATGGCAAGAAGCAGGACAATGACATGTAACATGGAAGGTGCACCTGAAGGTAAACCAAGAATATGGGAAAAAGTAGATGGGCAGAGGCAGGAGGAAGGGCAAGGGGAACACATGGGTAGCAGAGGGCCAAGAGCAGTGCAGCTGATGTTTGGTCGTCATCTTCATTCAGAGGATCAGAGCACCCTTATCTCCATTATAAGGTAGTCTCCAGAAGAGCTGCCCAAGCACGGGGGTCCTGGAAATGTAGCCACATCTGCACAAATTCATCTCCCACACCCCACCCTGCCACATCCCCACCCTGCCACAGGTCCCCAAGGAAACATACCGGGCTAGGGGCCTGTAGGAGCTCCGATAGCTGCTTCGTGGCACTGGCTATAATGGTTTTGTTAGTCTTCTGCTGCACTGAGTGCCTGGTCAAAAAAAGAGTCAAAGACAGAGAAAGGACAGGTAGAGAGTAAGGTAAGGGGACAGAAAAGTAGGAACAAGCAGAACCAGGCTAGAATAGACTCGGGCAGACAGCATGCAGAAACATGCAGATGAAGGAAGGAGTCATACACGCAGGAGCACAGGGAAGTGAAGAGCAATACAGGGAGGTGAGGTTAGCAAAAACCCCAACCAAAAAAGTCAGGGGAGGTGAGAAGGAAAGGAGGGAGGCCAGGACAGGGGCAAGGAGGGAGAGGCAAAGGAAACAAGAGTAGAATGGGGCAGAAAGGCAGAGCGGGCACAGGGCAAGAAGACAGGGAGAGAAATGACAAGATGAGCTATAAGTGTTGGGGGAAGACTAATGGCAGGACCAGCCCCGGAGAGCTACCAATCCACTGCCAGGATAACCCCTGCCTCCCTACAGATGTACACAGCTTAGCTCCCTTGGCCACACTGGGGCAGGACCTGCATTGCTAAGGGACCCAACCATAAACCCACCTGAGCAGAGTGGGGGGGCCTCCGCTGGTCACCAGGTCAGCCCATTCCCACTCCAACCCTGCAATACAAGCAATGGGCCGGGTCCCTCCAATGCCACACACAGCTGCAATTCGAAGACAGCTCCCAAAGATGACTGAAAAGACCAGCCATTTGCTACTTGGGGCAGATGCCCTTAGCCCACTCTGCAGGATAATAACTGGGGCAACCCTTCCTTCAGCCCAGTTCACAGCACACATAACCCAAGGGAAGGAGGGGCACTGGCCTGAAAGCAAGGAGCCCTCCTGACTGAAACGTGACTCAAATGCCTTCCTCGCGCAGGGAGTCAGCACTCTAGTCCCCACAGGCCTCTACAGCAACAGCCAAGGCGAGCACCATACACAGGCTATAAACAAGTATGCAAAACACAGCAGACTCCTGAACTGTAGCAAAAACTGAGGAAGGAAATTTAAACACTTATGCCCTTTGCAAAGTATAAAATCCAGGAAATCACTAAGACAAATTGTATAGAATGAGTAAAAATGTAACCAGAGTGTACACTGAACACTATCAGGCTGAAAGAAATAAAAAACAAAAGGTAGGATGACTGTATTTATGGGTCAGACATTCATTATTAAGATGTCTTGCTTTGAGAGTATTGTTCTTTGGGCTTGGGTTTGTTTATTGTGGTACAGGAAATAATCAGAACCTCCCATGAGCCATGCCCCCACCCTTTCACTTTGAATCTATTCTTCAGATTAAGTCTTTGCACTCAGAACAAGCCTCAGAGCCATCTTTCTTCCTCTCTCGCCCAAGTGCAGAATCCACGAGGATGCACCATCACATGCGGCCTACAAGATATCAATTTTTTTTTGCCAATCCTGTGCCTTGAACTTTGGGCCTGGGAACTGTCCCTAGGCATCTCTTGCTCCTACAACTTGGGCTATTTAGTAGCACTTCCAGCTTTTTCTGTGATTAATTGGAGGTAAGAGTCTCACAGACTTTGCTGGCTGGGTAAGCTTCTAATTGTGATCTCAGATCTCAGCCTCTTAATTAGGTAGGATTACAGGCCACCCACACCCAACTGAGATGTTGATTCTTAAAACAGTCTATAGATTCCACACCACTGTAGTCAGAATTCTAACAGGTTTTTTAAAATTAGAAATCATCAAGCTGATTCTTGAGACTTATATTGAAACACAAAGGGTCTGGTATCCAAAATAATTTTTAAAAGAACAGGCTGAATGAATGTTCCCACTCCCAGCTTCAAGACACACAGCAAGGCCTCAGCAAGGGACAGCTCAGCACAGACCCATGGAGACCAGCAGGATAGGATAAGCCAGCCTGCAACATAGCAGTGCTTGAGTAACTTCTCAAAAACCTACCAATATCCTCAAAAAGGCTGCTGCAACAACTGGATACACAGGTTTTGTAAAGAGAGGGGAGGGGAGGTAGGGAAAGGGGAGAGAGCTGTACCTCAACCCTTTCCTCATAGCATGTTCAAGAAATAAATCCCAAGTGTAATAGTCCTCCATGTGAGGGCTAAAACAAAGAAAAGTAAAAGTACAACAAGCATGTTAGTGTATACCACCATGAAATCCCCGGGGTGGGCTACCTTACAAGGAAAGGGACTTAGCTAGCTCATGACATGGGCAGCAAGCCACAGTCTTCCTGGCACAGGACCTCATGGCAGGAGTACACATGTATCTTGGTCTATGTGCTCTATCTCTTCACAATTCTAATCTAAGCACCTCCCAAAGGCCTCCTAAGCACCACCTAATCTTAATCCCATTAATGTGAGACTGAGGGGGGGATATATTAAATTCCCCCATGAGTTCCGGGGACAATAATAAATAAAAATGAATAAAAACAAACAACTAATATTAAAAACTTCAGCTCTTTAAAAGTTGTCAGAAATTAAACAGCAGCCACCACACAAGAGAAATGCTCTCCCTCAGGTATGTCATAGAGAAAGGACTTGCCTGAGAACATAGAAAGACTTTATAATACCATATTCCAACAAATAGGAGGTATGGATCTGATCAGCCTTAACAAAGGAAGAGACCTACATGGCCAGTGTGCACATCGAAGATGCCTGCAGCATTAATCATTACAGCAACGTGCACTGAAAGTAAGATCCCAGGGCACTCACTGCTCACCTGCCAAGACAGCACACATAGGTGACAACGTCCAGTAGTGAAAAGGACCACAAGCTAGCAGCACAGTCCCATCCTTGGCAGGAATGTAAATGGCACAGTCACTTTGCAAAGCCAATTGGCAGCTTCACCTGGAGTTAAGCTCACATTCATTATTCAACTCCATAATTCTACATCCAGAGATTTACCAGGGAAGGGAAACACACCTAGTTTTCCCCACAGCTCCCACCAACCCTCTGTCTTTTGAGAGGTACTGGGTGGACAGAATGCCATATGCATACAATAGAGTACTACTCACTAATACAATGGAATAACTCACATCACTCATCAATATGGATGAATTCACAAATATACCAAATAGAAAACAAGATCATACCTAAGAGGCTTTGTCCTCTGTTAATGTATTCGTATGACATTGAAAACAACTCCTAGGTAGTGGATGAGGGGGTCTTGGTGTGGGAAGGGGCCCAGAGCTAGCTTCTGAAGCAAGGGGAAGGTATATACTGTGTGCTTGCGGGGTGTGGCTACAGGGTACACACAGGTGTCAAGCTTACTGAAGGTGTACATATCCCAGCACTCATAGATCTGCCTTGGTGAGGCTGATTAAAAACTGTACACACGCGCACACACACGCACGCACGCACATGCACGCACGCACGCACACAGCATAGGGAAGACCAAGCCTGCAGAGCCCCACTGCCACTATCCTGAGACGGGTTAAGACAGGCAGGGCCCATAACACATAACAAGGCACACACACGCACGCACGCACACACACACACACACACACACACAGTATAGGGAAGACCAAGCCTGCAGAGCCCCACTGCCACTATCCTGAGACGGGTCAAGACAGGCAGGGCCCATAACACACAC